GGGGGGGGGGGGTATGTGTATGTAATGTTCTCTTTCCTTACTATGGTCTGTAAGGGGGGCCTGTCTGTAAGGGGAGGGGAGGGTGGGGGGGGGCCGCAAAATCTCGAACTTAAAACTTACACTCACTATTTTCTTCGAAAATATACGTGAGTTCCACAAAAGCAAGTTTCGATAGATGTTGATCCCATGATTATGGATTTTCTTGAGCATATTGTGCTAACATTGGTTTAAGATTTCTATTGACTCGTTCAGTCATATTTGTCTGTGGATGATAATTAGAAGTATTTTTATTTTTAATGCCTAGGGACGAACAGATATTAGTGAATAGTTCATAAATGAACTGGGGACCATTATCGGAAAGAATATAGGTAGGACAACCCCAACGACATATAATTTCATTAACTAGGATATTAGCGATATCAGATGAAGTCGTTGTTCTAAGAGGAAATAGTTCTACCCATCGAGTAAAATAGTCAACAACGACCAGTAAGTATTGTTTTTGACGTTGTGTAATAGGAAACGGTCCCATAATATCCACTCCAATAGTATGCCATGGTTCTCGAACGATGTGCATTTGTAATGGAGAGTTCATTATTTGATTAGAATATTTGAATTTCTGACATGACTGACAACTTTGAATATACTGAGTGACATCTTTTCGCATAGTATCCCAGTAGACTCGGCTTGAGAGACGATAAAGAGTTTTTTCTCTACCACTATGTCCGGGTGTCGGATGATCATGTGTCCAAGATAGGAGTTCTTGTTGCATAGATTTCGGAATAACGAGTAAGTGAGGAAGTCCGACTGATCGTTGATAGATATTTTTTGATGGAGATCGACATTTATAGAGAATACCGTTAATTAGAGTAAAAGAGGGATAGAGATTATTAATGAAGGGATGACTGAGACCTGATAATTTATCAATGATAATATGAAGGTGAGGGTCTTTATATTGTTCGATTCGGATATTTTCGAGGAGAGTACAATTGTCCCAAAAATTGAGTGTAGATGTAGGTGTTGTTCCATTTAACACAGCTAGATTAGGGAGAGGATAACGAGATAATGAATCAGAGTTTGTATTTGTTTTTCCTGGTTTATATTTGATGCTAACAATGTTAAATGCTGATAGACTTATTGCCCATCGAGCTAATCGTCCAGACGAATCTTTTGTTTCAAGAAGCCATTGTAGTGCCCTACAATCAGATCGAATATAGATTTTTGTACCTTCTAAATATTTGTAGGAAAATAATTTCTCTCAGCTGCTGTTTGAGTTCGGCTAGCGTAAGCAATAACAAATTTTTTATTATCATATTCTTGAGTAATGACAGCACCAAGACCATAATCACAGGCATCTGTTTCCAAAATGAAAGGTTCATTAAAATTTGGAGCTCGAAGTATAGGAGCCTGAGTAAGTGCAGTTTTTAATCGTTCAAAGGCTATAGTACATTCAACAGACCATTCTATGTTATTTGGTGGACGTTTAGATTTTTGATGAGAACGTATTTTAGCGTAATCTTTTATAAATTTTCTGTAGTATCCAGTTAAGCCTAAAAATGATTGAATATCTTTTAATCGTGTAGGTTGAGGAAAAAGTTTCACGGAGTCGATTAGACCGGGATCAGGTTTAATACCGTCAGGAGTAATAATATGTCCTAAGTACTTTAATTCTTTTCTACAAAAATCAGATTTTGAGGCTTTAAGAGTAAGTCCAGCAGGTTTTGAGACGATCAAAGACAGAGGATAAATCTTTAAGATGTTGTTCAAATGTGGAAGACAATACGACAATATCATCTATATAGACAAGACATGACTGCCATTTTATTCCAGCTAAGATAAGATCCATTAATCTCTGAAATGTGGCAGGAGCATTAGACAGTCCAAAAGGCATGACTAAAAATTCATAGGGGCCGCGATGAGTAATAAACGCTGCTTCCCTGAGTGAATCAAGGGTATCGTCAACTTGAGGCATAGGATATGCTGTACGAATTGTATTAGCATTCAACTTTCGATAATCAACACAAAATCTGAGTGTACCATCTTTTTTAGGGGATAATACGATTGGAGATGCCCAAGGACTATATGAAGGAATAGTATGACCAGCTTGGAGCATCTCTTCTAGTTGTTGATCGACTATAGCTTTTTTAGATGGGGGGAGACGATATGGTTGAGTGTTTGCGGATTCTATTCCTGGTTGAAGTTCGATTACGTGTTTAACAAGATGAGTCCGACCAAGTTTCTCGGTGAAAACTTGTGGATATTGTTTAATAAGTGTAACTAGTTTAGCTTTTTGAATATCGTTTAAGTCAGAATAGGATAAATCAGGGAGACATATTTGTTCTTCTTCAATATGATGAGGTGTATGAGATAATCTTGATATGCTATTCAATTGATGTTCAGTCAATAGTTCCATAACGGTTAGTTTTTGTTGAGGATGAACCTCGATAGAATCATGAGAAAAATTTGAGATTTCAATAAAAAGTGATTTACTTGGTGTGAGATAAGACCATTGCCTACACGAGGATTTTCATGAAGTGAAGAAACGGAATATGTTTCATCTGGAGAAAATTTAGAGAATGGTTTCGTAGGTTGAACAGGGATAATCATAGAGTGGTATGGATGTAAAGAATGTGCTTCAATAGCTGCTAAAGAGTATGATGACGAATTGGAAGAGGTAAGAGAAGAAGTGTTACACTGATCGAGAGATGGCTATTGAGATGCAAAAGAATTTGTATCTTGTGACTGCTTCGGAAAAATAATTTGATCGTGTGTACCGTCGACATGAATATCATGTTTTCGTAAAAAATCCAAGCCGATGATACAGAAATGTTCAATTCGAAGAGACCGTGTGTACGTAAAGATTGTCCATTAGCAGAACGTACTGTTAGGGATGGAGATTTAATAGGGATAAGTTTGCATGACTTTTGCTCGATTTGACGAAATGCCTCAACACTAAGTACAGTTAAATTCGAGCCAGTGTCAATAGTAAATTTTGTTGGGTACCCTTCTAATATACCATTGACATGTAATAGTTGGGAAGAAGAAATGAAAGAATTATGGATAGAACTAATAGAGAGAGAGAGGATTTTTTATTTAGATAATTTTCGGAGCCCCGCCACCTCCCATCAGTAAGACTCCGTCTTAGTTTTTTGAATTTGAAGGATATCTGGAAGATTGAGTACGAGTACATTGGGATGCTAAATGTTCTGGAATATTATATTTATAGCAGATAATATGAGATTGACGAGAATTAGATGTGTGGGAGCGAGTTGACGAATGAAGAGTAGCTGAAATAGTAGTATTAGATTTTTCAATATGCACATTTTTTTTTGGAACGAGAAAAATCAACAAGTTCAGCTTCTCGGGCTCGCTCAAGAAAATTTTCAAGACTAGGATCGCTAATGCAGGTCGAATTTTAGTAAAAAGGTGTCAAACAAGATGGCGCTCCGTTTCGTTCGGTTTGTGTTCTGACCAAAGACTGCGTAAACGAACGAGAAATTCGTTGATTGATTCATCAGGTCGTTGAATGCATCTATTCCATTCTTGCTCGATTTGAGTATACCACTCAAAAGCAGTATCTTTCAAAAATTGGCCTATATTTTGAAGTAACATTTCTTTGTCCCATCCATAAGATGAGTTGGTATATTGATGGAGTTGTAAGAGGAGGAATGGACGTGGTTTTTCTTCAGTTTTGCCTGAAAAAGAAGGAGCTATTGTAGGTTGTTGGATGATGACTGTTTGTCGTGCAGGGAGAAAGAGTAAGGTGTCTTGTGGAGAAGGACCATTTAGTAAAGAATGAGAGTGTATGGAGTTATTAGAAGAAGAGGGAGGTAATGGAGTTGTTGGAGAGGGTACGGATGGAGAAGTACGAACAGCAGCAAGTATTGCACGAATTTCAGCCGTTAATTCGGATATTTGTGTAGAAACATAAGTACGAAAGTCCTGAAATTGAGTATCTAGGTGTTGAATCGTGTCATCTAATTGCTGATATTTTAATTCATGAGCCGTGGAGAGATGATTTACTTTCTCATTGAAATTCTGTTCGAATTGAGTTACTGTGGACTGTACGGTGGTCAACGTGGTTTCGATAGAAGTTATGCGTGTTACTTCAAGTTGTAGTTCATCTCGAAGACTAGTGAGATATTTATGTAATTTCTGCCCGTCAGATTCGATCATAGTTAAAATAGGATCGTGCTAACGTAAGACAGAAAAATAGAAGACTACTACTAATAATAGTAAAAAGAAAAGAAAAAAAAAAACCAAAGAACAAGATGAAAAATTTCAAAAAAAAAGAAAATAATGTGCTGAAGTGAAGGGAAAAATGTAACCAAAATTCGATTGGTGTGATCGCCATGTGTGATGGAACGACTCACTCGTTCTGAGATTATTTCAATAATGAATAACGATAATATTATGAACGCAGTATATATATATATATTCCAGCAGAGAGAGAAAAACGAGAGAGAATGATTAATGAATAGAACATTAAGAGTAGTGACGGGTAGAATCCGTCACAATGGTCCGATGAAAATAATCGATCTAAAGAACGAGAACAGATTAAAAAAATAATATAAATTTTGGATCGCTTCATTTCAATGTAGATACATGAGGTGGATTGAATTTTCTCTTTGTCTGTTTTTTTTATTCTACGTAGTCTAGTTATATAAGAATGAAAAAAGCATTCATTCGTTAGAATATTTTTATTGTGAATTGTATCACATGTTTTCTATATATGGATGAATTGCAACTTTATTGTACCGTTCGTAGTTCCATATGTAAAACTTTAATAACTTCAGTTCCTCTTGGCCAATCTCTATGAAAATTTCGGAGTATGCTGCCGTAGTTGATGCTCACTACCACACAAAAAATCACGAATTTATCATTAGCCTATCCCGAGATACTGCATACACAAGGTTAAAATGGCTGATTTCTACTGCCACCTATGGACAGAAAATGACCCATCACTAATTGGTTTCTTGTCATTTGAATTTTGACAGTTTTTGACATTTACAGTGGACAGTGTATACATCATGGATATGAGACTGGCTAGTTCTTTCATCGCAGTTTATGTTATATTTTTTTCCGAATATCAGGTGTACCGTCAATGGTCAATATGGTGTCACACGAGATTTAAAAACGCCTTTGCTACATAACAAAGCATTCAAAATTTGTCGGATTGGTTTTGAATGAAAGCTTATCAGTGGGGAATAAAACTACCAAAGATGATTCGAAAGTCTTACTTATTCTTATTAAGAAAGGGACATTAAATAAAATTTGAAAATATAGTTGTCACACTAAATGTCACACGAGATTTCATACTTTGTGTGTCGTATTAACTCTTGTAAATTAAGGCATCTTGAGCTGAAATTTTTATCATTTTATTTGTTAGTTGTGGCCAGATATTGCTGAAAATATCACGGTTAAAAAATGCTCCTTTCGCATAATAGAGAGGAAAATAGTGTAAAAATGTCACACGAGATTGTTGGCAAACTGTCACACGAGATTTTTTCAAAAAAGTGCCAGATGAGATTTTTATGTGGATAACTATCCAGTAACTGAGATTAAGGTGAATAAAGGGCATATTAGTCGCTTTCATGTTTAAGTGACTATCACTACTCACGCGAACTAATTCTAACACATTCCTCACGAGTTAATAAATTTGCTGTGACAGATGCGTATACACGATCTATACTCAATTTAACAGTGGTAGTCGGGAAAATTTATTCATATCCATCTCTCATATAGTGTAGTAAGATGCACTACTCCCAATCTCTAAAATCGGAAATTTTTGTTTCATCGATTTTTTTCTCAAAACGGTACAATAAAGTTGCAATTCATCCATATATTAGTAGAACAGAGCGAAATATATTCTACGCTATAAGATATAAAGAAAATATTCAATGATTGTGTGCTAGTATGAATTTTTTGATTTTAATTAAATAATTTCAAAAAACAAAACAAAAACCATAAATAGTGATTGAACAAAAATATCAAGTTTGAGTACATTTTTTTGGACTGTAAGAATTTTTTAAAGCTATATTGATTTAAAATGATCTATGCTGAGTTACAATGAGTTAAAAGCTGATTTAAAATAAGTTAAGATGATTTAACAGATTTAATTTTGAGCTTTTAGCTGATTTTTATATCAGTCGATTCCCCATTGTTCGTGATCCTTTCACTAAATTGTAAATATAATCTCTTTTAGTTCTAGTGTGTACAGTTCATTTAGATTTCTGTTGAGTATCGATGTGTGGGTATCAGTTTGATGAGACGAATTTATGACAAAAATCCTCACACAGACAGGCATACCATCATGCACAATAAGCTTGATATTAGTACCAGCATCCACACATATACTTTTTCAAATGTTGGATAATACCTTTGTTGAGAGCTGTAAAGAAGTATAAAATAGCAAACGAGCCAAATATTTAATCGAGAATAAAGGGAGTTTACATGGAGGAAGGTTGCATGTTTCTCGCATTTACAATTTGATGAGATAATTGCAAATGAAAGTAAAACAAGAAATAGGTCATATATATTTCATAGAATAATGTTTCAAAACTAGAGAGACTTTTCATAGATCAGCAATATAATAAAAGACATGCTTCCAAGAAAGAGATGATCCGTAACATAACCAAAAACTAGTTTGATTAACACATGATATTTACATATGAATTAGTTGCAAAATCATAGAAGCATACACATCCTTCTCATTCAATGTCTCCATCTTACTCATACATCTCTGTCATCGTAAACTAAAAAAAGAGTTAAAAAAAATAATTGTTGTTAACAAAGTTGAGAACTTGACTCAAAAAGAATTCTCGTCTTGTAACAAAATCCGATATCTATGAAGAGAAAATTTCTCTCTCTTATTTTAATAATTTTTCTTGTCTCTATTTTAGATTATCCATTACGTTCTCCATCCAGCACCAACATTCATCCGAATG